CAGTTCACGACATCTTTTATTTAAGCACGAGAGCGACTGCTAGAGCGATTTATTATTTTTATTTTTATTCTCGATGTTTAATTATTATACCTTTCCTTCTTTTCTTTTCTTTTTTTTTTTTTTTTTTTTTTTTTTTTTTTTTTTTTTCTTTCTTTCTTCCGAGTCTTCGGTATCACAAGATAAAACCAATTATTATAACGCACGCGCCACGAACACATTATCTAAATTCATTTAAACGTTTGCTTTTTTTTTTTATTCGATTAGATCGCTCCTATTTCCTTCTTCCTTTCTCATCCTCCTCTCGCTCGGAAAAGATTGCTCGTTTTTCTCGTTCTTTTTCTTTCCTTTTCGTATTGCGAGTCGTGATGCGCAGTCGCGAATGCGCAGCCAGACGGGAGGCGCATGCGCGGACGCGACGCGTACCTTTCGCAAAAAAGCTAGTCGAAAAATCCTCCTCTATCGTCTCTGGACAAAAAGTGACGTTATACGTTGTTTAATTCCTGTACAATTCAACGGAGAAAACAAAAAAAGAATTGTACCGTGTGTAATTTAATAATTAAACGCGAAAATTCCACAAGAGAGCAACAAGACTTTCTATCAAAATTCTTGCGTTCGACGCAAGAATTGCGAATCCATCGAACAATTATTCGTAAGAACGATTTAACGATTTAATTGTCTCTGATTAATCAGTTTCTGTTGAGAAGATACGAACTGTGGTATTTACAACAAACAGCTTGCTCTGCTTAATCCCCTATCGAAAATGTCACGTACCTTTAAGGAATAAAAAAAAAAAAAAAAGAAAAAATAACATTAGAAAAAGGAGGAACATATATATAAGTAAGTACCGCGTAATATATATTACGTGCGCTTAATGTATATCGTACGTGATAAATGAAACGACGACGAAAGTGCTCTCCTATTCGATTTGGCTTAACCGCGGCGTGAAAGGGGGGGGAGAAAAAAAAAAAGAATAGGCTATTATCGTCTATCCAGCTATATAAAGTTGCGACGGCATCATCATATACATCATATACTTCGATTTTCGCGAGTAAAAGTTTAGTAAAAGTATCAGGCGGGCCTCTATCGAAAAAACGGCGGCGAAGTATGGATCGTGTGTTTATTAATAGGCACCTTACGTACTACGTAGGTAGGTAGGTAGAGAGACTTTAACGTGCACATAGAAACAGACGGTTCCACCGGTCTGTGGAGACTGCGTCGTTCGTCGATTCGTCCGGCCGGTGAATCCCCCGCAGAGGGGGAGGGAGGGAGGGAGAGAAGGGGAAGGGAGGGGAGGGGAGGGGATAGATTTTTTTTCTTCTCGAGAACGAGCGAAAGAAGAGGAGGAGAAGAGAAGAAAAGAGAAGAGAAGAGAAGAGAAGAGAAGAGAACGGAAGAAGGAACGCGAAGTTAAGTAATGTAAGTACAAGTCGGAGCCGCGTTCCTTCTTTTCTTTTTCTCTTTCTCTTTTCTTCTTCTTCTTCTTCTTTTTTTTTTTTCCATTCGGTTTCGAAATATACGCGGGAAACGTACGTTTGTGCGTAGGGGAGTGAAGTGTAGAGGGGAGGGAAGGGGAGGGTGTCGTCCTCTTTTGGATAGATCCAAAAGATGCGAAAACGATAGATGCGGCCGGACAAGATAATTAATTAATTAGTCGCTCAATTAATTAATCACTTTAGACCGCTATAATTTCTAAGCCCTTAAAAACTACTGATTCGGTTTTATCTCACCCGCTGAGGTGGCTTCCCGTCCGCGTTCGGCTTACGCTTTATAATTTAACCGCGCGGCGAGAGAGCACCTCGGAGCGCGTCCAGTCCATTTAATCGGGCGCACGGCTTTGCTTTGCAGAAAATTTCTTTTTTTTTTTTTTTCTTCTCGGCTTCCCCTTCAACTTCAACAATAGTTACACCGTGACGGAATACCATCCCGCGAATGTGGACACAGGCCGATGAACGATGAACGCATCGATAATGGAAACAATCTTCAACAAAATTTACGAATTTTCAATTACTTCGAGTCGAAAAATAAAGGAGATAGGAACAGAGAAAATTTTTATCATCGAATTGTTTATGAAACCGTGTTTGTGTCTTCCATCTTCTAATCTGATTGTTACTGGAACAATGTTGAAAAAAGAAAATTCTACCATAAGATAAAAAACATTAACCGACGAAATTAAATATATTACATGACATCTTGTTCCCTCAAAGTGGAGCAAAGAAAAAAGTTTGTGAAGAGAGCAAAAGAAAAAAAGAAAGAGGAGGAGGAGGAATATGAATTCTACGAGGTTGACGAGTGACGTCCTAGTCCTATCGGCGGCCTATGCCCAGAGATCGCGGGCCTCCTCCACCACGTGTTTCCTACTGGAAGTGAAGTGTGTGTCCCGGGCCGGCCTGAGTCACCGAGCAAGACCTGTTACGAATCGTGTCCCCGATCGTGACGATGGC